AACTTTTAGAATAAAATATTCTTGACAATTATCAGTTATTTTGTAAAATTACCTCGGAGGACCTCTGTATTACATTTTAGACGTGTATATTACTTTGTGTAATTTTACACCATTCCGTTGCAATACCACTATTACATAAGTAAAAACTATAGAGACGCGTGCTTTTTGCGTGAATTTTTAATAGTGGTTTAAACAAATCGGAATCTTTTGATATTCTCGGCGAAAATTAACGAAACGTACCCAAACTCACATTAAAATTAGAAATGTACTAATGATCTCTTAATCGAATGTGTGATATCAATGATTTGTTTCTTGATACACATAGTAAATAAGTTAATTGTCACCAGTATTATTGCCTGTCACGTGTGTGGATTATATGTAATAAATATAAAGACAGTTTGCCATTTCTTATTAAACGTGAAATTTTGTTGATACAAAGTTCACACCACACAACATTAATGAAGATGATGTATTGATATCACCAAATCGATACATACATTTGAACGTTTTTTCAAACAACCTTTATATTTGTAGGGCTTATTTTCTGCAAAAACCTCTCAGAGTTGGTCTGATGTTTTGATTATGATCAGCGTTTCATTGACCATGGGCACAATGTGTATCTGGTTTATTAGCTTAAAACCAAACTCAGTCAGTCAGTCAGTTAGTTTTCGACTAAGGTAATTCATCCGCTTTTGAGTCAAAACCTCTCAGAGTTGGTCTGATGTTTTGATTATGATCAGCGTTTCATTGACCATGTTATGTTTATTAGTTTTCGAGTAAGGTTGCAATTCATCGGTCCGCTTTTGAGTCAAACGGACTGTAGGTAATGACTGGAGGCATAAATATTCATTGCTTAGTCCGAAACAGTTCTCTTCATGGACTACAGTGTGGGAGGAAGCAAGTCTGAAACAATTCCCACTTTGGTGAATCCACAAGTCTGGGTCAAGTGCTGACAAATCTAAAAAAAATCAGGCCAAACTGGATACGAAACAACATTGGCGTTTGCTGTGGTCAAGGGAGGCAACTCCATAAGCAGCTTGCCACAGCTCAGACAACTAGGCCACGTGTGCCCCTACAGTGTATATCAAACATAACAATTAATCATTGATGTATATCCTGTCACTTGAAAATTGAAGATCATTCACATCATGCCATCATAGTGAGACAAGTTGCAGACCACCTGGAACCCCAGATGAGTATGTGTATGGCCCACATAGACCATGGATAATAACTAGAGCAAATCTTGATTTCAACCCCAGGACCAGCGATTCCCTGGATCCCAGTGTATGTTCGACTTATCAGTTGCTTTCTCTTTCAATGTGCAGTGTGACAGTCTGAGCGGGAAAACACCCTTACATCCTGGTCATAAAGGGGACACAACTCCACATGGCAACACATGTCCTGCTTTGTCTCAGCCACATCCAAGTCTTTGAAAGGCAATTTGGAAAACAAACAAAATTGATTTTTTTAGTGGATAACAGCTTCTTTATCCTAATAAATATAAAATGTTATCCATCAAAACTGTCATGGAAACACTAAACAACCGTAGTTTTGGCTTGTTCATGGCCGAAATTGCATCAATATTGCAGGTTTGTGATGGCAGTCTGTAAAATGAACACTTGACGAATGGCTGACAGCATGAGCATTAATCTGTGCAAGTGGCATCTAATGGCATGGATAAATAGAGCCAGTGAATCTGACCACATGATCCCACTAGTTGCCTCCTAACAAGCTTCTGAAAACCCTAACCTGGATCTTCTAGAGGACAACAGGTATCAGCTTCAGAACATTCACTTGAGATGCTGATGTTATACAACCACAAACGACACATTTGAATGCTTGCCTCCTTCTCCATGTAATCAAAATACAGTGAAAACAACACAGATATTATCATAAGAATTTATTTAACATTGCATTCTATATCAGCGTCAGCTTCCAAGCATCGGATGTGAGCTGTAGCCCACGTCACCAGACAAATAAATGTTCTAACAAAAGAGGATTGTGTTATGCAACTTGGACCAAGGAAGCCCAAATTAAGCGTATGCACGAGTACATGTGGACAGAAGCATGATATGAGAGGGCAGGCACCTCACAAGAAAGCATCACACCAGGTTTTCAGACATGTATAGCAGTCCCCAGCTTGCTTGGAATTAGCAGAACATGTCTCCTTCAGCCACTCTACGAAACGCTCCTCGTGTTTCTCCAACATCAAGAACTTTCCCAGAACAATGTACGCCTGGAAAAACAAAAAACAATAAATTGTTGGGGGTCAGAGGTGAAAAGGAATGTAATGTTACTTTCAAGTAACAGATTATCAACACTAAGCCAGATTTTTCTGCTACCAACTGAGAGAGAGAGAGCATGCTGCAATTTAGCATGCATACCAACATGAGTAAAAATATCATTTTTACGTATCCTAACTCACGTATATTTATCCATAGTCATTGATACTACATAATTAATTCACAGCAACAGAAATGTTGAACATGATTCAGATGACTTCGACTGCCCTGAATACTGAAGAGATGGAAATTTCAACCAAGTTCATACTTACAATTAAACGTATTTAACTGTACCTGTAGGTCTACGTAGGTAGCCATCGTAAATACAAGTGTCACAAGTTAATGTAGCATGGACATTTTTATGATCTTGTAAATGACTTTTTGTATTTGAACCAGAGAAAGAGAGAGTTAAAATGGTCAAAGTAACGTAATCAAGCAGTTGCTGTTCGAATTGCAGGAAACTTGCAACAAGCATGATATATTTGAAAAAAGAAAATGGCCAGCAATATTCAGTTTAAAAGTCCAGACGATCGGACGCTTATCATTTCTACTCATCGAAGTCTTAAGAAGTGCATCATTCTGGAACAAGTCAACATGCTACACCTTGGAGGTAAAGACTACAGGTATGCTTCATCTGGGACCTCGCAGCGTGATGCTGCTCATCAATTCAACGTCAATGGAAACACCATTTGGCACATATGGTGATGATGTTTTCAGCACAACAATCAAGATATTCACCGTCCCTGGAGTGGTCAGCCCCACGTTAAGAACAGTGGATTCAAACCATGTATCTATAACACAGTTTCTAGCCACCAACCCTTACAGTCTGCATCATGCCTGGCAACACTGGTACAGTTTGATGACATCTACGTTACCTGTGCAAGATGCCCTGCTTTAGCAGATGGTAAATTCTGACGCCAGACTATTGACGTTTAAGTCTCCAGAGGAGCAGAGATCCACGCTTGCTGTGGGGAGCATGTGAGATGAGGAGAGTTCTCTTCACGGTCGCATTTTAAAATGTTAATGTGTTACCTTGGCTGACAAGATCACCTCACTTGTCACCCAATGGACACATCTGGGATGAAATGGAACCACGTTTGTGACATTACCCGAATTCTCCAACAATGCTGCAGGAGCTCCTATTAAATTTCAGCAACATGAAGGGCCTCGATCAGGCGACGAAGCCAGGCCTGCATCAATGCACAACGTGGACACACTCGTTACTGACCACGTGACCTTGCTTGTGACACACACACACACCTTTTTTTGTGTTGTGGCTTATTTGCATGTGCCAGGTACACTGCTCTTCTGTTGACAGACAGACAGACAGACAGACATTTTATTTCAGTAATGTAGGCCCTTGGCCCATAATACAACATAGTGCAATTATAAAAAATACATACATGCTGGATATAGGATGACGATTGGAGTACAGGGTCAATTGATAGTAATAGTGGATTTATGTCTTAGTTTTAATACGGTGGAGAGGAATGTAGTTAATGATTTTAGATAATTTATGTCGTTGCGAGTAATTAAACGCACAAAAGTTTTAATTGTTGGAGGGTGGGTCTGGTGGGTTGTGAAACATTTATTTCTTATTTCAGAATATTTACCACAGATCAGTAGAACATGGAACTCATCTTCAACATAGTTTAAACCAACAGAGTGGCAGTAAAGGCAGAGACGTTGATCATAGGGTGTATTTGTGTGGCGGCCGGTTTCCACTGCTAATCTAAAGTTGTTACAGCGGAACATAGCCATAACTTTCCTTTGATATGGGAGGAGGTCACATGACAAGTAGTGTTCGACATTAAGTAAAGATTTAAATTGTGAATAATATTTACATTTAGATGAAGAGTCAAGTGAGGAACGCCAAATTGAAGGAAGCAGTCATAAAATCGCTGCTTTAAGATGGATATAAATGTTTTATTGCAGTCTGTTGAATGTTGCCATAACTCCAAACACCTGTCTTTTCATGTCACAAGATTTTATTTGCGGCAGTAAGGGTTTAATGCTGATTATGTTTGTTGTATGAGTGTCACAATAACTCTTGCCTTTGAGCATATTTATCTCTACAGATACAAATCAATGTTTTTTAATGAAAAATCAATTTATCAGAATAACCTGATACGTTTTTGTCAGTATGCTGATATTCTTTTCATCAATGACAGTTATGTTTGGTTCTTCAGTCTACTGAAATGTAAGACATCGTAAAGTGTAATCTCACCTTATTAAACCCCGCCTCGCCGAGTCTGTCACCAAGAGCTTGCCCTATTCCTGCTAGAGCAGTTACAGGCTTTTCTGCCATTGGCTCGGACACAAAGTCCCGGTGTTTTTTTAGATGTCGTGGATGACATCTCTCCAGATGCAGTAGAAGACATCCTGACTTGTTATCAGATGACTTTCACTGGAAAATAATAAGCATTTGCTCTATTGTCATTCCTTCTTGAAAAATGAAATGAGAACCTGCATGCTCGTTTTTTCTCCAAAATGTTACATGTTACATCTGATACTATTCATGCTATCGAAAAAAAAAAATAACAATCTTTTTTATTGTTCCGAGTAATGCTGATGCTTTGTTTCGTGGCCAGTATATAGAACGTCTTGGATCAGACAAACCCGTGATTGATATTGTGAGCAATGATCAACACTGTCGGGGTGTGACACCACAGTGAACCATGTCAGCTTGTCTGACCAGCTGATCCATGAAGTCCCCTCTTGCTATTACAACCAACTCGGTTTGCTGGAGACCTATCCCAACACCAGAACCCCTAAAGGGTAAAACATTATCGGATACAATACTCAGAGTCAGTCGCCCTGCACCTTGACAATGGGGTAGACTGTCTCATAGTCCCTGAATTATAATATTTTGACTTACGTTCATCCCAATCAATAATGCAAAAGCCAAATATAAAACAAGTCTTGATTTACCTCAACGTCAGAATCTCCCAGCTCAGTGGGGCTTCTTTTCGATTCAAACACGAGTATGTGTTTCTTTCAAAGTTATATGTTTTCAGAGACTATGCCTCAGTTGTTTGTTTTCTGCAAGGTTTGACAAGCAACAGAAATCAACCTTTTGGCAGGGGAAACGGGGATAATTATCATCTTTCAAGGACTTTTGGGAACGACCACCCCCAAAACAAGAATATCAAATTCTAAACATTGCTAACCATTTGTCAGTCTAAGTAAGCTTGGACTCCGTATTATTCGTTACACTGCTTTTACTCATGCGTGACCACTCCCCCTTTCCGTAACCTCCAAGAAGGCTCGTCCCCCCTCTCGATGTTTTTTATGTGCGAAAATACAACAAACCAATCAGAACGCGCGTAATGGTTGTGGCGATATGATAAAAATAATCCCGACTACTTAAATCGTTTATGGCATTATGTTATTGTAAAAATATCATGAAAAATATATTTCGTCATAATGAAAGTACTGACAACGTAGCTAACAGAATTGTGCTGTTTAATGTGAAGTTTTTGATAAGAATCATGCGACTGACGGTGAGAGATTCAAATACACGAACGTGCGTTTGTTGAAATAACGGCTCTCACTGGTCCAACTGAGCGTATATCTGACGATCTTGCGGGCTTGTTTGGTGATTGTACGTGGGTTCCAACAGTTTTAGGAAATGCAATTATACATCGCTACGAGTTTCAAAACAATAATACTGAACCACAAAAGAAACGTCGCTTTTCAAAACCAAATGCAAGATTTTGTTCTTACAAAATGGTGTTTTTATTACGATTGTATCGTTTTCTTAACATGTTTTTCAATCAATGTTGACAGTTATTACCAACATCAGTGTGTTTTCGCACCTAAAAAGGCAGACGTAGTAAAAGGTTCCGTATGACATTCGTGAAAATGAAAATGCACGTGCATATCGTGACAACCCTACCAATGAAAGCGAGTCCAAAACTCGCCTGAACTCAGTTTTGTTTTGACACAATCGTCATGGCACGAATTACGAGAGGTCAGAGGAACCAAGTCTTGGGAGGATTGCAAGTTGGCCAGACTGCCAATCATTTTAATGTTCATGTTAGGACAATCTACCGACTGCAGGAGTGGTATCAGGTCACTAACAGCATCCAAGACCGTCCACGCAGTGGGCCACCTTCAGTAACATTACAACATCAAGACCGACAGATTGTGCGCCACCATCTGCAGGGTCGCTTCCAAAGAGCGACGGAAAGAGCACGCCAAACCATTGGGACTCACAACAGACGCATCAGTGCCGATACAGACGTTTGCGCTGAAGAAACCTCTGCTGTCACAGACCATATCGTAGTCCTGTCATCACCGCTCATCACCGCCCAAACCGACTGCAATGGGCAACTCAGCATCGAAATTGGCGTTATCGACAATGGAGAACTGTGCTTTGTTCTCATGGAAGCCGATATTGTGTTTCGACAGTCCATGGCAGATTGAGAGTATGGTGAAGGCGTGAAGCAATGTTTTCCAATGGGTGTATTGGTGAAAGAGACTCATGGGGTGGTCCAAGCATCATGGTGTGGGGTGCAATCGGTCTGAACCAGATAGCTGGCATCGTGGTGTTCCAGAATCTCGGTCCAGGATAAGGAAATGACGTGACAGCTGCTCGCTATTTTGACCAAGTCATAAGACCGCACGTTGTACCACATTTTGGACGTTACAGAAATTACATCTTCCAGCAAGACAACGATCGTGCCCACACTGACAGAGTAACATTGGACTTCCTAAGACAACATGGTATCCAAACCGTACAATAGCCTGCACTCAGTCTTGATTTGAGTCCAATAGAACACCTTTGGGATGAGATTCAAAGGAAGACTGAATGACCTCCGCCCAAGGCCGACAACTGCTGCTGGACTTGATCAGGCATTTCACAGAATATGGACCCAAGTGCCTTTGGCCTTCACCAACCGGCTAATTCATTCCATGTACAGACGATACCATGCTTTCATCGATGCCCATAAAGGCCACACGCGATACTGACTTTGGGGTATCAAAATGGTACCATTTTCGGTAATTTTGGTTGTGTGAACTCTAAATGTGATTCCCGAAAATGTGTTAACAATAATCATCAAATTTGAACTCAATCCTCCGTTTTGATTGTTAATTAGAGTGAATTAAAGTGTTTGCTTTAAGAAACCGCTATCGGTGCGACAATTCTTTTGTGGTTCAGTATATATCTGTATGTAACTGATCAACTTTAATCTTTAACATTGGGAATATATTTCACATATCTGGGAATATTTTAGTCTGACTTCTTTTTTGGTCATTTATATATTTTTCAGCGAATTCATTTAAATTCCACTTAGGGTATTGGCAGCAAGGTTACACGAATGTTCAGTTTGAGAAATATTTTAAAGTCATTTTTGAGTTTCTGCTTTTGAATTAAATGAAGCTGTTTTTGTTATAAATTTTATTTGCATATTCAACAAACAAATCCCATTTGTGATTATTAAACCCTTTTCAGAAATATAACTGGAAATATAAGGTGAACATCTGGTAATAATTACGTCAGAATATGTATTTAACAAACATGTTTTTCTCCTTCTTTTAGTTGTATCAAGGAGGTTTGATTCTTTAAAATAAATAAGCAAAAACAAAAACAGCAGTACAATGTTTGAGTACTTCAGTGATATTCAGTACCATTGGAATCAAACAGGAATAGAGTTATCGTTCCTGTTTGAAATAGTTCTGATGTTCCTACGCTAACGTGTTTGCCGTGGGTTGTGCCCCTGGGTCGGTGGAGGACGGTAGTCTGGTGGTTGAGGGCAAAGGAGCCAGGAACAGTGTTCCTTTTGCCCAACACATCACTTTCGACCCTTACTTCACCTAGACGGGTGGTAGAATTGGCCCGATTCTATCAATCGGCTGGTCACACTGTGCACTGAGCATGGATAATTATAATTCCTGTATTTTCTGATATTTCATGTGGTTACTATGGAAACCACAAACTTCCGAACGTATTACAACTTTGCCTAGAGTCCTATGCCAGAAGGCGGTGGCTCATGGGCCAAATCTGGCATTAAAGACCTCCGGGTTCTATTTGTTGGCCACGAAAGCTTCTCTCTATATTCCTCTGACTTCCGAGACAACAGCAACAGGACAGAGGTCGTACGATCATTCACCCACTCAAGAATACACGGATTTGGACACGAATAGTGAGGGATCCTTTACTATGGCCACAGCGTGTGCAGACTGCATGGTGCTCATAGACAACATGCACGACTTACAACGACATATCAAAACTTGGTGTCCGGAAAATGACCTGAAATCAAAGTGAAAACGTACCAGATACGAGAGCGAGGACGACAGTGCCGATGATGATTTCAGTGACTTACCCTCCCAGAAAGGTGGTGGTCTTGCTGTCAAATATCCTCGTGGGAAGCCAACATTTACTGACATGGAAGTTGAGGAGTGGCAAAACGTAGGCTTACAACGTTTCTGGAAGCACAGGTACAACATGAATCGTGAGGTAATGAAATTCAAGAGAAAAAAGTACAAGCCGCAGCGACGAACAGAAGAATGGATCGAGAGAAAAATGAAACAGTTGTGGAAAATGAACTGGCTGGTAGTCTAAACTGCGTGGTGGAATACACCACATACTTTAAACAGGCACCTCTGTTTCAAGCCATTCTGGACAGTCTGGGAGATATGAATCCTTCACGGAGCAATCCATCCTCAAACATAAAATCAAACTTTTTCTGAAGCCAAAAATGAAACACATTCTGACACGTATAGACATGCCCGAAGTAGAAAGTGACACTGAATCTGTCACGGCTCCAGAAGATGGTGATGGTGAGGAGGAGGGCAAGAACGATCAGGAATAAATATCCATGTTCAAGATATCTCCGTATCAGTGTCAGAATCTAGTGGTTGGGAGAAGATGCGGTTTCAACCCACGTCCCATTTGATTCATATCTTGAAAACACCTCGTAAATTCAGACGCACGAATGACGACTAGAAACGCCCAGTTTCCATCTACGTTAAAGGAGTCGTGAAACTGGGACCCCCTGGACGGCGGAAATCGTTACAAAGCATGTCGATGGATAAGAAATAGCTGTACCTTATATAGAAGATAGAACGACTAGATGAGAACATGAGTGAGCGTGTGTAACTCAGAAAAGGCAAACTCAAAATTCAAATACAACGCTTAATTGTGTTTCATATACGACAATGCACTTATCAACTTGCACAACTGTTGAAGTATAAACTATCTACCACGCCTTGTAGCAGCATGTGACTATACAGATTGAACTCGAACAGTTTTCATTTTATCAGTTTTCTAGATGGAAATGTCTGTGCTTGCATCACAGCTTTATATAACCGTTTTGGTTTTCTATTAAATTGATCATGAACGATTTCATTGTTTTTGTTGTTTGTCCGTTAAGATATTGCTTGTGTCGATTTGAATGGTCA